TGATCATGATGAGTGCTGATTGTAGATAAGTAACTCGCTACTATGGTATTTTCTTTGCATGCATTTTTTTCTTTCAAAGTGTTAAACTATGTTTTGTTTCAAAGTGTTAAAGTACATGCCTTTTCTTTCATTTGGTGGGCCCTTACCATAGTTGATAATCATAATTATATATTTTCAGGAATTCATACTTGATTGTAAAAGTAGAACTGGAAAACGTTTTAAGTAATGCATGCGTTACTTTGAGCGCATTCTTGGGACTCGGGAGCATTTTGCTGTCAATTTCGTTTCTCTTTGGTTTAGAACTATATACTCCCTGCACTTCTGCTCAATAATTATATCAACTATTATTATTATCAATTACAGAAGTTCCTGTTAGTCTATTTGTTTTGCTCCTGTCAGTTAATCTTTTCGTACCCTTTAGCTGTTATTTTATATGATTTGAATTTCTTGAAATAAAAATAAAAGAGCCAATGAGTTAATTTGGTTAATGGGTCAATTGTTATGAGATGTAAACTGACTACTTTATGATGAATTTTTTGAAAGTCTAACAAAAGCTTTTTTAGTTAATACTTCTTGTTCTTGTCTGTACATAGTGGGAAAAGAGAAAGGTTGGATAAAAGAGACTCAACCTCAGCAAACGCTTGTGTAACATGTTTGGTGGATGAATCACGATTCTTAGAGTCCTTCATTTTTGCTATCAAGCTAAGTGAACTGATCATACTATTATAGCTTTGGTGTAATTTCAGTTAAAGTTTTACATACAAGAGTAATTTACATGTATAGCAATCACTTGCTCACTGTGTATATTGTAAAACTGCTTCCAATTGTGGTGCTATACGTATTTATGGTGTACTTTTATACACTAGTAATAGTTTACGTGTTTTGAACATGATTATAATATCATAAACTACATCATTCTTTAGATACTAAAAAATTTTTGTGAAATTTTGATCATTAACATCATAATATAGTATTTTTATGTTATTTATTTTCTTTAGCCAGCTAGTTTTAAAAATTTTATTAAATAGAAGGAGACAAAAAGAATTCCAATGTAGTTAACATGTCCCTGAGGATTAAATTTGGAATCATGAACCAAACATTTTTTATTTATAGCTTGAACTCTAACATATCAAATATTGATAATATCATGTTTTACCAAAATTGTTGTATATTCATGATTTTATTACATATAAACCACAATCGTTACAATTTTTTATAAACGAAGAATATAATTAAGCTAAAAAAAATAAACATACATGTAATTTGTATTCTTTTTATTGCTATTTTTGTCAATAATGGAATATAAATGATCAACCACATAATTTTTTTTTTGGCTTGTAATTCTGACAATTGAAATTTCATAGATAGAGATAGTTGGATTTTTTTCCATTTTCCTTTTCTTTTAATCATATTTTTAGCACAATCCAATGCAAAGCAAAAGCGACAAGTCTACTTTTTCATATGAGAACAATATTTTGGTTTCAGTATAAGTGTTTTTGATGATCATGGAATTGGAATGAGAATTCTAGCTAATTAACAATTTTAATATTAGTTTTTAGTATATTGCAGTGTATCATACTTCCTTATTAGCTATGGATGGTTGCTGCAAGTGCTTGGAAAGACGCAACTGGGTAGATGCTGTTGCTAAAGTTAGACCTGCCTTTATTACATTCGTTAGAGGTGCTTTTCGAAATCTAACAAAAATGCTTTAATTTATTTTTATTAAAACTTTTTCGCTTGTGAAGTTGAAACAAATCTGCAAGTGGTTAATGTCAAGTCACTTAATCCTTATCCTTATCCTTACTAAATAAAAAGTATGAATGTTGGTATTGGGTTGTGCAAGTGTAAGCACTTTTTTATCTTAATTTTTGTTATTCCTAAATTATCCTCATGTCTTTTAATTAGAATTATTGCATTTTAATGTGGCACTAATTAAAAGAAATAAAACACTCCAATTGATTACATTTTAATGGTATTGGTAATTATAATTAAAATTTCCTCATTAAAAACTATTTACCTACCCTTGGACTCCATCTCCTATTATTATACGTATCAAAATTTCTTAATTGAAGCATGAAAAATTTCTCATTAGTCATTAGTTGAGATTATTAAAAAAATCAATTTAAAAAATAGATACTCTCTAGAAATGGAGAAACATACAATGACAAGAAAACCCTTATTCATCTGTATATCTACACACAAATATCACAAGTAAATTTTACAATTATGCACTTTTACCAATATGAAGAATTTTTCATATTGCACCCAATAAAATTTCAATATACAAAAATGATGACACCTTTATAACTGAAATAGCAGTATTAAACTAGAAAAAAGAAATCTAAAATAGCACCATGCAAACCACTATTATCATTAATAACAACTGAACAACACAAGAAAAACTGAAATAAAATTGAAAACTATTTATAAAATGACATAAAGTAAATAGCAAATGAATTAAAAAGCTAGAATACAATTCAAATAATACCAAAGACAACATCCAAATAACTGATATCCAGGGGAAGACAAACATTGTTATTGACAATAATATAGTAATGCTTCATTTGTATTGGTTTGAGCAAACCAAATCCATCCATCAAGTCAGAAACCATCTCCAATGATAAAATAAGGATTATAATGAGAGTAAATATAAAATGAAGAATGATAAAATGAAAGTGATATCCAAATTGTTTTGGTGATATCCAAAATACCCTTATTTTTCTAATGATTACATATATTTATTGTATTGCAATATTAGTGAATAATGGAAGTGATTATGAAATGAAAAGCTTTAAAATTAAGTAAATTTCATTTATGGTGACAATTGTAATTAGACAGATTTAATGCATTCCAATAATTGATAATAATGATAGCGGTTATCGATTCAAAGTTGGCAATTTAAAACTAAAACACTGCAATATACAAAAAATTAATATTAAAATTATTAATTAGCCACAATTCTCATTCCAATTTCATGATCATAAAAAAAACTAATATTAAAACCAAAAATATTGTCTTCATATGAAAAAAGTAGACTTGTTGCTCTTGCATCGCATTGGATTGTGCTAAAAACATGAATAAAAGAAAAGGAAAATAGAAAACTCCAACTATCTCTATCTATAAAATTTCAATTGTTAGAATGTACAAGCCAAAAAAACTTTACGTGGTGGATCATTTATACTTCATTATTGACAAAAATAGAATTAACATAATACAAAGAATTCAAATTACATGTATGTTTATTTTTCTAACTTAATTATATTCTTCGTTTATAAAAAATTGTGATGATTGTGGTTTATATGCAATAGAGTCATGAATATACAATAATTTTGGTAAAACATGATATTATCAAAATTTGATATGTCAGAGTTCAAGCTATAAATCAAAAAGTGTTTCGTTCATGATTTCAAATTCAATCCTATGGGATATGTCAACTACATTGGAATGTTTTCTATCTCTTTTCATTTAATAAAATTTTTAAAAATAACTAGCTTAAAAAAATAAATAACATAAAAATACTATATTACGATGTTGATGATCAAAATTTCATAAAAAATTTTTAGTATCTGAAAAATAATATATTTTAAGATATTACAATCACGTACAAAGCACATGAACTATTACTAGTCCTAGGAAAAACAGGAAAGAACGAAATTAACCAACTAGCGAGTTGAAAGGGAAGCACAACTCTGGTAATTGGATTAGTGAGGATGGGATTGATTGGAAAATCAGTGGTCTATCTTCTTTCTATACATACAACATAAATGATAGATGAACAATTTAGAATCATTAAACTATAGTCCCAGCATCATATTAGTACCTATCATTGCAACTGCTATGTACTAACCAACTTCAATTGTGGTAACAAACTCTAATGAACTGAATGTTCAGCTGGATTGAGTGCTAACTAACTTGGGTTAGCTGGACTGGTCACACCCACGTTATCCAATCAGTATTGGAAATTATTATGTATGTAATTGTGTTTTTTCTTTTATGACTGTTAAGGTAACGGCTTAACATTGTAAAGTAGCATGAGTTTTATGGAGTTAATCACAGTTCACAAAGTTTTGTAACAAAACAGATATTGGACTCAGAATAAAGAAATGGAAACTGCATCGTATCCTACAAATGTTTTAGACCTTTTATTGCCATTCTGATTTGGACTTTCGCATATTTTTTGATACATTTTCTTGGTAATTAAAGAAAGTGGAGTTTATTGTAGTAAACAACTTGGTGAACATATCAACAATTTACAAGCTCTACATGGCATTGGGAGGTTATGATTTTGTTGTATTGATTTGATGAGAAAAGGAATCAAATGTTACTTTCATGTGCTAAACCAGAATTGTTTTATATTGTTTGTTTCTTCTTGTGGTCATGTCCCTCCAGTTTACCATTTTCGGAGGGGATGAAAGGTCTTCTAAGCGAATACTTGGCATGATTGAAAGAAAAAAGGAAATGAACGTAAAAAGTTCTTTCCAGTTTCTTCTATTTAACTGAGACTTGGGATAGTATGGACAATGGTAATGAATATAGCAAGCTTATGCATATAAAATTCATATTGTCTCAGTTAAATAATTTACATATTGTAAATTGGATTCCATTTTATATTTTGTTGTAAAATTAGACAATAAGTATCCTGGGCTGGTTATCTTTTAGGGTTTATGCTAGCCTCCAACTTGGTCAATTAAATATTAGTTGTTAAACTTTTTAACATAAACCTTTGGCATATTAGTGCACATTTTGGTTCAAGAAAGTCTTATTGTCTTTTTTGAAGGTGCATTCTCTTTTAGTGTCATGGTATGCATTGTCTTATATGATTAGCTTGCTCATGGCTAAAATTATCAACAAATTTTGTTGAGCAAATTAAACAAAAGTTTGGCATTTGTTCCTATTTGCTTTACTAGTATTTAGTTTCTTATTCTTGTCATAACCTGTATTGTGGCCATTGGATAATTTATGGGTGGTTACAACTGGTAAACTGAAGTGGCCGTTGTATTTCCTAAAATTATTTGATAAGGATTCTGAGATGTTGACTTTTCTAGAAACCAATGGCAAGCATACAAGTATAGGATGCGGAACAATAATAAGATGCGAGGGGAATCACTACACTGTATTGTCTTGCGAGCATATTTTTAATCCTATTGAGAAGGTTAGTCCGTCAATGCTGAAAATGATATTGTGCAACAGCAGGAGTGGTCTGAATATAATGAAGCTAACAAAGGGGAGAATTCAAGAAGGAGCACTCAGGAAACAGCGATACAGCAACGGACTGTCCAGGCTCAACAGGAGAGCCACACTGGTATATCATTGAAGATCCATACGCATCAGGACAGAAGGCAAGCAGCAGTGGGGATTGGAATCACAGCCATAGATAACTTGGGACAACTGCAAGCAGCATGGGCACTTAGAGAAAGGTCATCTGGGGATACATTACAAGACCAAGCTGTTGCGGTCAGATTAGCTCTGATGAAAGTTGCAGGCCAAGGCTGGAGGAATGTCAAAGTAGAACTTGACAATCGTAAGCTGGTAGAAAATATAACAGCAGCAACGTACAACAACCAGCTGATGGCCACTCTAATTGAGGACATTAGATCCATTGGTACTTTGTTTCAACAGTGTTCATTTCTTTTTGCTAATTCTACGAAAATAGGAAGTATCAAACTGAGCATTCATGCTCTAAACATCTGGGTAGATGAAGAATGGGTGAATCCCAATTTTAGATGCTAGGCATCAGTGATCCGTAGGATATTTTGTTCATTTGATTGGACCTTTGTCCAAAATATTGTAAAGTTTACAGTTCTAGATATATAAAACAAGCTAACGTTTCGACAAAAAAAAAAAAAAATTCTCCCCTCAAATTTTTATATGCATCATATACTTTTATGACTATTGTGTTCTTAGTACTTTCTTATGTCTGTTATATGCCTTGATGATGTATGCATTGTATAGATTTATGCTCGATCATTTGATGGTGGGAAATACAAAGTTGGAGTGCTATTTATGGACAAGCAGTCTGACATATCAACAGTGAGGATAGTATCTGAAGTTCCACTAGAAGTAGCAACATTGGGTGATTCAACTAAGTTGTTGCCCGGTACTATGGTAGGTGCTTTGGGATGTCCTCTGGGATTACCAAATACCTTCACAGCTGGAGTAGTGAGGTATGTAGGATGGGTTTGTTAAAGCATGACAGACTAAATCAGTTACTTTATGGGCTGCAGTTTTGATGAATTTTTATGTTGTCTTAATCCTTCTCCCTTTTTGCAGTTCTGTTGGGCGTAAAAGCTTTGAGCTGCAACATGTGGATTTTCAGGGATATCTGAAGGAGGTCATCGTCATGGACATAGTCCTCAGCAATGTAATATGCACTTTCTTTCCCTTAATTACATTCTTGAGAGCATTTTTAAAAAATTATGCTGGTGTAGTTTCATAGATATAAGCTATGCCGGTGTAGGGAAACTCTGGAGGACCCCGTATCAATTTGGACGGGGAGGTAGTTGGTGTTAATAGTCGAGGGATTAGAAGGTTTTATGAAAGGGGTTTGGCAAGGATTAATCGGTTGGGATTTGCTATCCCAATTGAATATGTTTGCAAAATGTTGGACACCGTCAGCCGAGAAGGGTATGTTATTGTCCCCATGCACTTGAATTCCATGCTTTTTTTTATTGTACATGTCATGATGTGATTTAAACAGATCGCCTACTTTTCCTTGCTCGGATATACAGGGGAATTAGGCGACGTTTGCTTGGTTTGCAAACACGTGATCTCACTACGGAGAGGATTGCACAACTAAAGAGATTGGAGAAGTACAAATTTCTTGGCAAGAAGGCTATTCTATTTTTTTGACTAGTCAATGTAAATATAACTTTTCAGCAAGATATCAGCATACGCTTTGCATTCCAATAACCAGGCACCTAGAGGTTTTCCTGCGAGTAAGGCTGGAATTGTGATTAAATTCAACAATGAGACTGTTGGAAGTATTAAAGAGGTAACTGCTCCTTGCCAGCTTTCTGTAGCTATAGTCATTTACTTATTTTATGTGTATTCATTTTCTGCTTGAAGTATTGATCGAGTTTTCTTTTGGTTATTGATTTTGGGCTGCAGATCACTGATATCATGGAACACAATATGGATCGTGAAACATTCTCGGTTGTTGTAATGAACAACGGTGTTCCAAAAAGGCGTTTTATAACTCCAGAGGCAGTTAGTGAAGAAATGTCAAATAGTTTAGTTTAGCAACACAGTCACAGCACAATGATGGCAGACAGTTACTTTAGGGTGTTTTCTTTTAGAATGTTCATTGTTCCTCTTGTAATTGTATGGTAACAATTGACGTGTTTTGAATGTTTGGAAATTGAGTTTTGAGGTGTCTGAAATATTTTTGTTTTATCTGAGAGTAAACTTACTAGACTTGCCTCTTATCTTGACATTTAAAACCTTGAAATGTCAAAATGGATTGAAGTATTGACTCCTCATGTGATTGTAATGCTGCATGATCTGGAACATCATTACTCATAAAGGAAATTATTTTTTCATGAAAAAGGAGAACTAATGAATGTTACAATTTAAAATTGTGTGCTTGCCTGTCCATCTGCAACCATAGTTCTTTTTTTTTTTTCCATAGGCGAAGGTCATTTTGGATAGTTATCACTTTGATAAGTGTGTGGTCCATGGGATTCACCCTCACTACCCATTGAGAAATTTCCAGAATCCTGCAATGGTGATGGATGATCTCATTGATGTCAACTCATGTGATCAGTATGATTACCAAAACTGCAATCACGTTTGATAAATGAATCATGTTGGCAAGGTTGAGACTTGTACATTTTGTTGAGTTGGATTATCTGTTTGATGATGTCTCCATTTTTATCTGTTTGAAGTGTCTCCATTATCTGTTGGATTATCTGTTTGATGATGTCTCCATTTTTATTGATTAAGATTTTGGCTAATCTCTGTGAAGGCATCTGAACACTCCTAAAGTATCTGTAGAAGTTTCTGAAGACTTTCTCCGAGTTTTTTTTATTAAATTTCTACTTTTTGCAAGATTTAACTATGATATCTTGAAGCTTCTGTTCTGGTAAGGTTGCAATTTATTTGCGATGTGTTTTTGGAGTGTATTTTCCCTCCTCGGATGAGTTGGGTGACTTTGGGAATCTGTCTTATACCAAAAGAGACATCTTTGTGCATTTAAAGTTTGTTCACCATAGGTCTAGATCCTTCCACTACAACACAAGATGGACTCTTGCCTTGAATGAAGGCTCTGATCTCTAATAGGTTGGCTAGGCATCCCAATATGCAGTGCCAGGATTTCGATTACGTCTTGCACCTTATAATGACTCTTTTCTGTTTTGCTTGACTGCTTTCTGTTGTATACTAATTTAGAGCCTAGGTGTCAGCCTGTTCATTTTGTGTGAAGGAAGTTCTTACGCCACTTTAGCTGCATTTGGAGACGACGTCTAGATTCTCTGGTTGCTTGCTGTTAATTTGCACATTCTTGAAAGTGATCGGATGCTGTGTGATCCTGCTGTGCCTTGTTTGCGATCCATCAGTCACTGAAATCTTTGAATTCCTTCTAAGTATGATAAAGTGCGTCTCAAACCAAGTTGCCTGATTGTTAGGATGTCCTTTGATTGATAAGACCTTCTGATTAATTGCTTTTCCTTCTTGCATCCTTTAGTAATTGCTATCCATCAGTTTCTGCAAAGAAACTCGACAATTGGTTGTTGAGATGGTCTGGAATTTGAAACTGAAAAACTGTTACTGTATGTGCAACACTCTTTCCTGCAAATATGATTTATTTGCACTTCATAGACTCCTCATTTAGTGGCAAACCTTTTCGATGTCTTGTTTGGTGATCAAATCATGGCCTTCAATGCAAGTTCGCAAACAGTTTAAGATAGAAAGTTATGCCAAAGTAATCAAATTAAAGGTGTTGATTTGCTAGTCTTGCACCAATGTCATGTAGATCAAGGGAATAAATTATCATGCGATGCCAGTTGTTCTGCGTTTCAATATGTTTGAATTAGGTTCAACCTGCCATATTCTCCAACAAGGAAGAACTTGTGACTTGGCTCATTGATGAATGTGATGATATCCTTGTAGCCCTTCCGAAGCCCCTTCTAGCGGTTATGAAAAAGGAAAATTTGGTACTCTTCCTTAAGAGATTCTCTTTCATTTATTCTTATTACCTTATTGTTTGCCTCAGATTACTTAATCGGTTTCCTCTTGATTAAAAAAAAATACTAAAGAACTGCTCAGATAAAATCAAGCCTAATGTCATGAAAGCAGTGAAGTGGATGAGGTTAAATTCAAAGGATTATGCTGATATAGTTGCTTCAGGGGATATGCCAGCTGGAGACACCGGGTGCGACGTTTTTCTTTCCTTCAATTGGCTTGTTATTTTGCAGAAGGCAGATAAGTTTACGTGCTGTCTCCAAATATTCATAGTTGACTCCTATCGTAATCTCAACTTGCTCATTGTATGTAAGTACGATGGATATATGTTTGGACTTCCTTAAAACTTATCGTAATCTCTATAACATGTTAGAAACCTCATTTTCCTGTAACTCAGCGATAATTAAGTTATTAAGGTAGAAATCATCAAGGCTACATTAAAAAGAATGATTGCCACAATTACCAGTTGTTTTCTTGAAAATCATGCTAAATAATGTGTTGATAAGTCTGTTGCTTCTGACGCATAAGGTTGGTTGGTATTATTTGGACTTCTATAAATTGGTTTGATGAAGAAAAACTAGCAGATCAGGCAAATCAATGGTCGATATTATCCTGTTGGACTTGCTAATTTAAGGTGGTACAAAATCTCTGTCTTGTTCTTTCTCGTTATTCTTATTGACCTCTGAAATTTGCAATACATAGACAAGATTGGATGTAGTTTATATCTTGAATTGATGAGGTGATGGTAAAGGAAGAAATAAATGCCTTGCAATGGCATCCTGTGGAAGCTTAGGCTCAGCGTTGCAACTTGCAAGTCAATTCTGGATGATGGGTAATAGGAACTTTGCAGGCACAGGCATGTTTAAGGCGGGAAACTACAATCCAGTGGCCACAAGGAGTTTTAAATGGGTGAAGTGATAGACATGAGAACGTATCCGAGGATAGGGATTCTTCAAAGATATAACAGAGCCATGACCAAATTGAGCAGCTGAAGAGCATGGCTAAAATATCTGTTGCGCCTGAAGCTTTACAAAGTAGAGGAGAATTGCGTGCAAAAGCAATTGTCGCCTTGTAGGAGCAGTACCGAGTAGAAGGGTAAGAAAACCAAATTATCTAATAAAACTGAAGGACAGTTGTGAACACGCTGAGATGAATAAAGATGGAAATTCTCTTGGAATACCTCATAAGAGGAGTAATCATTGAAAAGTTAGTAAGCATGCCAATAATTCATCTCCAGAGAGGTCAACTTTGCAGCCAGAACCAGAACAGAAGCATGAGTCAAGTTCTTTTACCAAGAACGTCACATTTTGCTAGAACATGTCCTCCAATTTCTAGATATGAAGTGATGGATGTAAAAGTCTTCAGAGACGTGTAGTCCAAAAAAGTACAGAGCATGGTTAGTCAGGATATTAACCTTAATATGTTAGACGAAAGAGGAGTTTTACTGGATGATCATCTCAAAAAGGAAAAGCCAGGTTTCTGATCGTTGCTTAATAATAGGATCTTAATAAACAAAAGATGCAGAAGAAACCCTGGGAAACATTCAAGGAGGAAAAAATATTCTATCGAGTAAAGAGAGAAGCAAGAATGCAGTTCGGAAAAAAGGCATCCAAAGTGGTTCAGAGGAAAACCACTGCTTTGACCTAGAACGATGGATGGAACAAAATGGAATGGAAGACAACGAAACTGAAAAATCAACTCAGTGGCAATGTTTTGTTACATTTGGTTGGAGGTAGCATGTGAGAAGAATGTAGGCTACTTTCAAACAAAACCTTTCCATCATTATGAATTGGAGCACAATGGAAAAAGATAAGATAGCATTCTAAGATGGTGAAAAGCTATTCTAGGTTAACTTCTACAGCCAGATAAAAAGTTAACGAGAAATGGTGATGTAGATGGACATCAGATTCCGCAAGAGAGGTCAGGTAATGTGTCTGAGTGTTTGTTATTAAAAGTAATAAATCTTCAGTACTATCGCATCTCAGCTGTATGATTGCTTCGTTTAGCACAATAATACCTCCACCCTTTCTCTTCTTAATCTCTAATGCATCCCCAGTTTGCATCATTTAACACAATAATACCTCCACCCTTTTTCTCTTCGTAATCTCTATCCTTATCCTTAGCTCATAATTAAGAAAAGGACACTTGTAAAAGATGCCCCATATTCTTCAGGAATTAGACTTTTAGCTGGTACGTTTATCTCTTTTATGCACATTCATCTTAACTACTTTGACATGTTTACATGGCTACCTACTTTTATTTGCTTTACCTTTAGATGCCCAGGAATGCTATTGTCACTCACTGGTTTGGCATTTTCTGATGTTCAAGAATTTTGAGGTTAAATGGCTGTAAGATTGTTTTATGACTCATTCCATACTCATTTGCCGTTGCCCCATTTGAATTTCAGGTTTTATTGTTAATGATGATCAGGTGGATCTTTGTTATGCTTTCTTGTTCCGTTTTAGCAACCCCGCCCCCTGGGGGTTTCCGTCATATTTTGATGGGATTTGTGAGATGTGAATATGTGACAGTAAGAGCATAATGAACGTAACCTTTGAAGTTATGCTGCTGCTGCTGTTAAATGAGTGCTGTTTGATTTTGACAAAATAATAATAATAATAAGTGCTGTTTGAGAAGGTTGGATTTAGCCTGCTAGGACTTTTTCTTTAAAGATCTTTATAATGTGTATGTTGAAACTTGAAAAGGATTTAGCCTGGGAGGGGAAAAACAACACTGCTGCTGCTAGGATTTAGCCTGCTCTCATCTGGTTGACAAGGCACAGTTTCATTTGGGAGGGGAAAATGTATAACCTGGATGAGATTTGAGAGCAGCTTATGCTCTGTTTTAAAACTCGGACCGGACCGGCGGTCGAACCGGGAACCGGCCAGGTAGCCGGTCCGAGTCATATTAAAAAACCGGAAATTTAAAATCCGGTCAAAACCGGTCAAAAATCGGGTTTGACCGGAAAAAAAATCGGTTTTTCCAGTTCAACAGTAATTTTTTAAAAAAAAATTCAAACTTTTTAATATTATGTTTTGACCCCCTAAATTGTTAAAACTTATTGATATACCTCAAATATTTGATACTTTATAAGTATTGTCCTAAAATTTGATGTTATTTTTCAATTTAATTCATAATTTTAATCCTAAACTTGTTAATATTTATTAAATAATATAAATTGCTACTTGATTGTTCTAATTTCTTTGTATTTTCTTGTTAAATATATTTGAAACATCAAATATATATG